ATATATATATATATATATATATATATATATATATATATTGAATATCTTCTATCATTCTCAGCATTTGCTTCAAACCTTCACTGGTGTGTATGGACCTGTAGTACTACCCACATTCAAACTGATATCTGGAGTGGGAGTGATGATGAGTGACTAGTACCACAGTAAGTAAATAGTAAATCAAAACTGTTATATTGTTTAATGTATTCTAAACATATGTGATAATGATTAAAAACTATATAATTATGGTATTCACTGATATCAATGTCAAATTCAATACATTGTAATTGTACTATGCTTATACATATAATACCTGTTTAAGCCAAATATTAACATACATTAGGTACATGTACACACATACTTAATTACCTGGTATAGTGAAATTCTATTAAAACAAATAGCCTATTTATCAGTATTGTTTGCTTCTTATATGAATGTTCTAAACTTACCTACAGATTTATACCTTATGTTCCAGACCAAAGCCGTTCTGAACTTACCTACGGATTTATACCTTATGTTCCAGACCAAAGCCGTTCTAAACTTACCTACAGATTTATACCTTATGTTCCAGACCAAAACCGTTCTAAACTTACCTACGGATTTATACCTTATGTTCCAGACCAAAGCCAATATTCCATGCTTATTATCTGTTATTGTTTGAAGTGTATATACTTCCAGAGAGAGGGCTTAACCCTTTCACCCCTATGTAACTTTAGTAGACTCTACCATACGTTGATCTGGATGAGTCCATTTTGGTCTACAGTGGTGAAAGAGTTAAGTTTATATAGGCTTAGTCTGTTGCCCAATTTCAGTTAAGTCTTATTGATTAAATGAAATATTTTAGAATGAAATGGAAGTGAAATGAAAATCTTCACTTAGACTTTTTATTTTTGGGCAGCTGTTATATAATTACATATATATTTGTAAAGTTTGCTGCCAAGTCGTAGTCTGCTAGTGCTAATTAACAGATATGCAATGAATTTAACATTGGAACTGCCTATTGAACTTCTTCCCCTTATTGAAAATCCTCAATTTATTTTTGTTTCATTTCTGACCCCTTTAACCCCTCTGGCATAGACTAAATTGTAATGGCCTCCAGCAGCCCAGAAATACATATATGCATTGTAGGCCTTCTATTAGGTAGCTGTTGACCCCAGTAGGTTACTAACCTGTGATTAGCATCATCATCCTCTAGATACAATTGTTCTGTAGAAGAAATCTTTATATGGTTTAACTACATGTACAACATTTGAACCCTATGACCTTAAAGTGAGTCGGTGTCAATAATTAAAAAGAAACCACCAAAACAAGCCACAGACCTTTAATTAAGGCCTTCAATTCTAATTGATCTGAGGCAATCATTAGAAGGGGAAGTTGATGATGGACAGATGACATTTTCCTTTAGTTGTGAAAATTAAGTTGATGGCTACTGAAGCATCTACATCTACTCTTCTCTCTTCTTTTTTCTTTCTTTCTATTTCCCGACATTATTCTTGTTAGGTAACTACTTAGTATCAGGAAACTTAGGAAAGAACTTTCTGTTCTGCTAGAAGCACACCTAAGCTTACATCAAAGAGTCAAGTGAAATAATAAATTTTATTTTAGTTTTATTCCAGGAAGTGGTATCTAAAGTATAAACATAGGAGCACATCTGATATGGAGACCGAGGTGTCTACACATGAGAAGTGGCAATGCCTTCTGTCTGCTGTCGTGGGAGGTAGGGTACTCCTATAACAAAACAGGCCGCTGGTCATTCCTTTTTAATATCGGATATGATTTTACCGACTCAAAAGTATCTCGCCGTATAAACCTCTAACACTGTTGGAGTATAGGTAGGGCTGCTTGAGCTTAAAGTGATGATTAAATAAATTTAAACCAATTTGTTATTACAAATTTATTAGGGATTTCTTTATTAATGAAATTTGTGTCGCTCCATTTGTTTGTCAGATGTAAACTATCATTCCTATACTATTTCCCATTTTGTTTTTGTTCTAAAAAAAATGGAGAACTCTGTTATTATTCAACCAATTCATAGATTTTCTTTTCTGTTAAATTCCAACAGCCAAAACATGTTACATAAACAATCCAAGTAATAGATGACATTACCAAAATGATAGATATGTCACTTAAGACAGAAATTATCAAAACAAGCATTACATAAAATGAATGTATTGAAATACAAATGTACCAAAATAAATTACACAATCGATCAAGTTTCTTATCACCATGTTCATACAAGATAGATATATTTTATTGACGCATTTAATGTAAGTACATTCATGTAATCTTTTTAAGACGTCGCAATTTCTAGACGTCCACATTATGTGTACTTTGTTTATAACGTCATTATTTTTGACGTCTTAAGTATCTGTACTCCATTTATGACGTCACAAATAAATTCAAATCGCCTGAAGAGCCCCAATATGGGCTAAAACGCTAGCGAATTATAGTGTTCGTGTTCTGTTATATATAAGATAGATAATATATACATGTGTATACCTTTAATTCTTGTTTTCTTTTTATTTATTCCAGGGAGTTTACAGAAGGTGACAGATATAATAAAAACATTCTTCCCTAAATCAAACATGTCACAAACTTATTCTTGCTCACCAGGAATATTTAAAGAAAACCCTCCTCTCCACCAGGCTGTACTGACAGTAAGTTATCAAGGTTTTCAAACCTTGAAAAAACACTTGATCACTGCTGAGATCTACTATTTCCAATCTTTTAAGGACATAATTTGTAGTTTAAGTGCAAAGCTTACTACAGAAGTACATGTTTTTGTAGGTCAGTTTGCTATATAAAGGAATGAGTCTGTGCATTGATGGAAGTGCTATTTTATATCAGATTTACAATGGAGTGCTAAAATGTATAGCACATTCATGTATTTAGGTACTTACAATGATAAATAACACCGCTCATTCAGTAACTTACTAGAATTACATGGTAATCTGGTTGAATGTCTGATTGATTCTTTTTAAATAACAATAATTATACCAGTAATATTCCTACAGCATTGTATTTGGTGTGGTGTTTACAGGCGTCTGATGAAATAGTACTGTTGCTGATAGAGAATGGGTTTGACATCCATGCCAGGAACCGCTATCAGGAAACAACTTTACACATGGCCAGCAGAAAGGGCAGAGATGGTAAACAATTAAAACACCTAACATCAAAAACACAAGTTTGATGATTATAAGGAATGAATAGAAAAATGAAATACTAAAGGTATTTCGAAAAATTTTCTTCAGGTTGGTAAGTATGGATTATGAAAAGTTCCGGTGACTACAACGATATGTACATTGTCACCTTAATCAGACAAATGACCAGTGAAGCGTACGCACACAAAGCTGTAAAATGTGTACGAGTTGTCCACAAAAATTGATGTCAATTTGGCTACGCTGTTAGCAAAGATGTACAATAGTTGTATATATGGGTACCGAAATGACTCGATTATATTGGTACATTTACAGCAACTATTGTACATACGCTTACAGTGTAGCCGAATCGACATCGATTTTGTGGACAACTCGTACACGTACTCGTAGAACTTTACATAATGAAATACTAAAGGTATTATTGGCAACAGAAATGATACGTTTCAACTGGAAACAATCTTCTATAAGTTATTCTAAGAAAATTTAAACATGTCTTTGGTTTTCAGTGATAGTACACAAGCTACTGGAGTCTGGAGCTGACATAGACAGCAGAGACTGTGAAGAAAACACACCACTATTTAATGCTGCAACTTACTCTCATCCTCACATAGCACATGTCCTCATCCAAGGTAAATACAGTACTCACACCACACAGGTCCTCATCCAAGGTTAATACACTACTCACATAACACATGTCCTCATTCAAGGTTCATCACACCGCACATGTCCTCATCCAAGGTTAATACACTACTCACATAACACATGTCCTCATTCAAGGTTAATACACTACTCACAGCGCACATGTCCTCATCAAAGGTTAATACACTACTCACATAACACATGTCCTCATTCAAGGTTAATACACTACTCACACCGCACATGTCCTCATCCAAGGTTAATACACTACTCACATCGCACATGTCCTCATTCAAGGTAAATACACTACTCACACCGCACATGTCCTCATTCAAGGTTAATACACTACTCACACCGCACAGGTCCTCATCCAAGGTTAATACACTACTCTTACCGCACATGTCCTCATTCAAGGTTAATACACTACTCACATCACACGTGTCCTCATTCAAGGTGAATACACTACTCACACCGCACAGGTCCTCATTCAAGGTTAATACACTTCAAGGTAAATACACTACTCACACCGCACATGCCCTCCTTCAAGGTTAATACACTCCTCACATCACACATGTCCTCATCCAAGGGTAATACACTACTCACGCCGCACATGTCCTCATTCAAAGTTAATACACTACTCACACCGCAAAGGTCCTCATCCAAGGTTAATACGCTACTCACACCGCACATGTCCTCCTTCAAGGTTAATGCACTACTCACATCACACATGTCCTTACACTACTCACATAACACATGTCCTCATTCAAGGTTCATCACACCGCACATGTCCTCATCCAAGTTTAATACACTACTCACACCGCACATGTACTCCTTCAAGGTTAATACACTACTCACCCCGCACATGTCCTCCTACAAGGTTAATACACTACTCACATCGCTCATGTCCTCATCCAAGGTTAATAAACTACTCACACCGCACAGGTCCTCATTCAAGGTTAATACACTCCTCACATCACACATGTCCTCATCCAATCTAAATATGCTACTCACATAACACATGTCCTAATCCAAGGTAAATATAGTACTCACATAGCACAGGTCCTCATCCAAGGTACACTACTCACACCGCACATGTACTCCTTCAAGGTTAATACACTACTCACCCAGCACAGGTCCTCATTCAAGGTTAATACACTTCAAGGTAAATACACTACTCACACCGCACATGTACTCCTTCAAGGTTAATACACTACTCACCCCGCACATGTCCTCCTACAAGGTTAATACACTACTCACATAACACATGTCCTCATTCAAGGTTAATAAACTACTCACACCGCACAGGTCCTCATTCAAGGTTAATACACTACTCACCCAGCACAGGTCCTCATTCAAGGTTAATACACTCCTCACATCACACATGTCCTCATCCAAGCTTAATACACTACTCACATAACACATGTCCTCATTCAAGGTTCATCACACCGCACATGTCCTCATCCAAGGTTCACATAACACATGTCCTCATTCAAGGTTCATCACACCGCACATGTCCTCATCCAAGGTTCACATAACACATGTCCTCATTCAAGGTTCATCACACCGCACATGTCCTCATCCAAGTTTAATACACTACTCACACCGCACAGGGCCTCCTTCAAGGTTAATACACTACTCACCCCGCACATGTCCTCCTACAAGGTTAATACACTACTCACATAACACATGTCCTCATTCAAGGTTCATCACACCGCACATGTCCTCATCCAAGTTTAATACACTACTCACACCGCACAGGTCCTCATCCACGGTTAATACACTACTCACACAGCACATGTCCTCATCCAAGGTTAATACAGTACTCACTTAACACATGTCCTCATTTAAGGTTAATACACTACTCACACCGCAAAGGTCCTCATCCAAGGTTAATACAATATTCACATCACACATGACCTCATCCAAGGTTAATACAGTACTCACTTAACACATGTCCTCATTCAAGGTTAATACACTACTCACACCGCACATGTCCTCCTTCAAGGTTAATACACTACTCACATCGCACATGTCCTCATCCAATCTAAATATGTTACTCACATAACACAGGTCCTAATCCAAGGTAAATATGGTACTCACATCCTCACACTGCACAGGTCCTAATCCAAGGTTAATACAATATTCACATCACACATGTCCTCATCCAAGGTTAATACAGTACTCACACCGCACATGTCCTCATTCAAGGTTAATACACTACTCACATAACACATGTCCTCATCCAAGGTTAAAACACTACTCACACCGCACATGTCCTTATTCAAGGTTAATACACTACTCCCATCGCACATGTCCTCATCCAAGGTTAAAACACTACTCACACCGCACATGTCCTTATTCAAGGTTAATACACTACTCCCACTGCACATGTCCTCATTCAAGGATAATACACTACTCACATCACACACGTCCTCATTCAAGGTTAATACTCTACTCACACTGCACATGTCCTCATTCAAGGTAAATACACTACTCACACCGCACCTGTCCTCATTCAAGGTTAATACGCTACTCACATCGCACATGTCCTCATTCAAGGTTAATACACTACTCACATCGCACATGTCCGCATCCATGGTTAATACACTACTCACATCGCACATGTCCTCATTCAAGGTTAATACACTACTCACACAGCACAGGTCCTCATCCAATCTAAATATGGTACTCACATAACACAGGTCCTAATCCAAGGTAAATACAGTACTCATATTCCAAGGTTAATACACTCCTCACACTGCACAGGTCCTAATCCAAGGTAAATATGGTACTCACATAACACAGGTTCTAATCCAAGGTAAATACAGTACTCATATCCTCACATAACACAGGTCCTCATCTAAGGTAAATATGGTACTCATATCCTCACATAACACAGGTCCTCATCTAAGGTAAATATGGTACTCACATCCTCACATAACACAGGTCCTCATCCAAGGTAAATATGGTACTCACATCCTCACATAACACAGATCCTCATCCAAGGTAAATATGGTACTCACACAGCACAGATCCTCATCCAAGGTAAATACGGTACTCACATAACACAGGTCCTAATCCAAGGTAAATATGGTACTCACATCCTCACACAGCACAGGTCCTCATCTAATGTAAATATGGTACTAACATCCTCACACAGCACAGATCCTCATCCAAGGTAAATATGGTACTCACACAGTACAGATCCTCATCCAAGGTAAATATGGTACTCAAATAACACAGGTCCTCACCCAAGGTAAATACGGTACTCACATAACACAGGTCCTAATCCAAGGTAAATATAGTACTCACATAGCACAGGTCCTCATCCAAGGTAAATACGGTACTCACATAACACAGGTCCTCATCCAAGGTAAATACGGTACTCACATAACACAGGTCCTCATCTAAGGAAAATATGGTACTCACATCCTCACACAGCACAGGTTCTCATCTAATGTAAATATGGTACTCACATCCTCACACAGCACAGGTCCTCATCCAAGGTAAATATGGTACTCGCATCCTCACATAACACAGGTCCTAATCCAAGGTAAATATGGTCCTCACATAGCACAGGTCCTCATCCAAGGTAAATATGGTCCTCGCATCCTCACATAACACAGGTCCTAATCCAAGGTAAATATGGTACTCACACAGCACAGGTCCTCATCCAAGGTAAATATGGTACTCACATCCTCACACAGCACAGGTCCTCATCTAATGTAAATATGGTACTCACATCCTCACACAGCACAGGTCTTCATCCAAGGTAAATATGGTACTCACATCCTCACACAGCACAGGTCCTCATCCAATGTTAATATGGTACTCACATCCTCACATAGCACAGGTCCTCATCTAATGTTAATATCGTACTCACATCCTCACACAGCACAGGTCCTCATCTAATGTTAATATGGTACTCGCATCCTCACATAACACAGGTCCTAATCCAAGGTAAATATGGTACTCACACAGCACAGGTCCTCATCCAAGGTAAATATGGTACTCACATCCTCACATAGCACAGGTCCTCATCTAATGTTAATATGGTACTCACATCCTCACACAGCACAGGTCCTCATCCAAGGTAAATATGGTACTCACATAGCACAGGTCCTCATCCAAGGTAAATATGGTACTCACATCCTCACACAGCACAAGTCCTCAAACAAGGTAAATACGGTACTCACATCCTCACACAGCACAGGATCTCATCCAAGGTAAATATGGTACTCTCATCCTCACACAGCACAGGTCCTCAAACAAGGTAAATACGGTACTCACATCCTCACACTGCACAGGATCTCATCCAAGGTAAATATGTTACTCTCATCCTCACACAGCACATGTCCTCATCTAAGGTAAATAAGGTACTCACATCCTCACACATCACAGGATCTTATCCAAGGCAAATACGGTACTCTCATAGCACATGTCCTCATCCAAGGTAAATTTGGTACTCTCATCCTCACATAGCACAGGTCCTCATTCAAGGTAAATATGGTACTCACATCCTTATCTCTATTATAAAGCACAGGTCTTCAATTAAGGTAAATAGGGTTCTTACATCACCAAAAACACAGTAACACATAGTTCCTTGTGTGGTTTGTGGTACTCTCTTCCCCTGGTATATGTGTTCCTCCATGTAAAACATCCAATCAACTACTTCATCAAATTAGATAACATGTAAACAAATATTAACAAATACAAGTAAAGGTAGGTTGGTCAGTATTTCAATGGCAATATGATCCAAAATACAAACTTCTCTTCCGAGGACAGGTAAATAGGTGTGTTATATTCTGCTACCACTAGCCCTCCACCACTGGGTTGGAGTTTGAGGCCTATGTGGGGCAGTTGCCAGGTACTGGCCGTAGGTTGGTGGTTTTTAGCTCACCTGGCCCAAAGGGCCAAGTGAGCTTATGCTGTGGTGCGGCATCCGTCGTCTGTCCGGCATCCGGCATCAACTTTTTACTTTAAACAACTTCTTCCCAATAACCAAGATGCCTAGGGTGATGATACTTGGCCAGTAACATGTTGGGATGAAGGGCTACCAAGTTTGTTCAAATAAATGACCTTGATTTATATTCAAGGTCACAGGGGTCAAATATGTTTAAAACCTTTAAACAACTTCTTCTGAATAACCAAGAGGCCTAGGATGCTTATATTTGGCCAGAAACATGCTGGGATGAAGGGCTACAAAATTTGTTCAAATGAATGACCTTGACTTTTATATAAGGTCACAGGGGTAAAATATGTATAAAACACTTAAACAACTTCTTCTGAATAACCGACAGGCCGAGCGTGATGATATTTGGCCAGTAACATGCTGTGATATAAGGCTACAAAGTTTGTTCAATTGAAAAACCTTGACTTATATTCAAGGTCACAGGGGTCAAATATGTTAAAAATCTTTAAACAACTTCTTCTGAATAACCGAGAGGCCTAGGGTAATGATATTTGGCCAGAAGCATACTGGAATGAAAGGCTATAAAGAATGTTCAAGTTAATGTCCTTGTTTGACTTTCAAGGTCACATGTGTCACATGTTTAAATCTTTTAATAGATTTTTTTCAATCAATTACTGGTATTTTGCCTGTAGCTTTATTTTAGATAACAAGTGTAAGATTAATACCAGGTGAGCGATTCAGGCCCATTGGGCCTCTTGTTTCTCTGTGAAGTCTGACTTTACTCCACACCAAAACCTGGCACGTCCTTAAATGACCATAGCCTTAAAACGTAAAACACAAACAAACCAAACCAAAATAGATCGACATGAGATATCAGTCCAGATCTGTGGGTATTTGTCCTTCAGTGTTATTGATATTCAACATAATTACTTCATGATGTGGAGGATATTCATCCATCAAACTCAGGTGTTTGCAGACTTTGTTTTGAACAATACTTATTTCCGAAATTTATACATAAGTCTAATAGTTAATATAAGTTATCACTAACCTTGACCTTGACCCTTCCTTGATAGCTGGCAGTGATATCAATACCCTGAACGAGGAGTTGATGACACCCCTGGACCAGGCCATTCTGTATGACCAGCGTGAAACCATCTCCATCTTACTAAAGGCGGGCTGTGAGGTGAAGAAAGATAAGGGCTATATCTACTATGAAGATCACTATGTCAACTCCATAGTACACTCTCTCTGGCAAAATGGCGACAGCAGCAACATCAAACTTCTACAGAACTGTGGCTACGAGATGAAATACTCCGACATCAAAAGACTGGTTCAGTGGAAATATCATGTAGTTCAGGGGGCCGATATTCCAGATACGGACAAGGCTGTGATTGAGGACATTTTGACCCAACCGCTCCCTTTAATGAACTGTTGTAGAATCTCAGTAAGAGATGTGCTATCTAAGGTTCACAGAAAATGTACTCTAGAAAAGTTATCCTCTCAGCTACCCTTACCCAAGTCCCTGAAGGACTTCATAGCCTTTAAAGTGTAAGAACGTTCCTTTTCATTAACCCTTTCACCCCTATATAACTTCAGTAGACTCTACCATGCATTGATCTCAATGAATCTATTATGGTCTATAGTGGGGAAAGGGTTAAGGCCATGCCATGCTCTTTCCAACCCTTTTAAGGGACCGTACTTAATACCGAAAGATATTTATTTTACAAATTGATGTTTTTTTGTACACTGACATTTACACAATATTTTCCTGATGCTGTGTTGTTGACTGATGGTCGACTATAGAATAACCTGTACAAGATTACAGATGTCTTTAGTTTTATTTGTAGAGATGATTGTAGGCGTTTTTGGAGTTTAATTTTGCAGTATAATGAATGAATTTTTGTTAATTGATGTTCTAGAGCTAACTGTCTCAAACTGTAAATTTACATAATTGATGTGAATCAATTAACATATCAGACAAACACCATCACCACTCTTGTGTTTGCTAATTATAGCGCCCTGTCTAGTTAACATCAGCAACTCTAAAGTGCTTTACAGTACATAGATATACAATTGATACAATTAGCATAAACATTTATCAAAACAATTTTTGAGGAATTCGCAGGAGCTGCCTTATCAGGTGTTAACTACTAGTCCTATGCCACCTGGCTGATATCTCCCTATGTGTGTGCGTGTGTGCTGGAGATGTAATATATACATGTCCTGCTGTCATATACAATCTGGTACATTTAACGACCATTATCTGTGGAATAATGACAGAAGGGGATCAAGTTAGTATTAAACAAACTGTACATTAATGGTTACGACATCTTCAATTCTGGAAAAGGAAAACAGTAAGCCAGTAGAAGCCTCCGGCTTCTTGTAAAACATCAAAATCTGGTCGAGATACAATGATTTACTTTTTTACAAAAATTTAATTAAATGGTTTTAAGACTGTGGAAACTCTGATGATACTCACCATTAACCGATAATCTGATACACAACTTTTTACTATCACCTAGTCTTATATTTTTGTAACCTGCTTTAGTCACTTATTGTTTTTAATCTTTGTAACCCATTTTAGTTCTAGTCTGATATTTTAAGAAGATTTGATTGTTATTGTTTAAGTGTAATAATTTAGTCATTCCATTGTGATGATCCAATCCGAATTGTTAGCCTACTAGTCTTGTTGTTTGTTTTTGTTGATGATCTAACCATACTTGGAGATAGAGATTGTAATTCTTAAAATATAGTAATGATTAGTTTGAAATAATCATTTATGCATTGGGAAAATAAATTATCACATAATTATGAACATGGAAATAAAATAATTAAATAACATGTAATCTAACAACTGTAATATGGACAACCTTCATTGTCATCTAATTAGGAGGCAGGGTAGTCCAGTGGTAAGACGCTGGGCTCGTGACCGATTGGGGTTGTGGGTTCAAGTCACGGCACAGCACTGTGTTGTATCTTTGAGCAAGATACTTTACTCCGCTTGTTCCAGTCAACTCAGCTGTATATGAGTACCTGGTTGGGCAGTGCTAAATTTGTTAAATGCTAGCTGTGAGCGTTGAAATGTCAGCACCGGTTTTATGCTCCACAGGGAGTTGAAAAAGATATTGGCTGGTTGCAAAGGCCCTATAACCACAGATAATAATTTGTGAATAGCTCTGAGACGACCTACGGACTAGGTTGTGATAAAGCGGTATATAAGAACCTTGAATTATTATTATTTATTATTTATTACAAAGGCCTACAGTACATGACCAAACTTCAGAAGTCTATAGAGCAAACATGACAAACTAGGATTATCTCAACCTACAAGATTGTGTCCAGATACAAAGTTAAAGTTTTGTGATGTACAGTAGTATATATATATATGAATAATTTCAATAAGATTATTTAATACATGGTTATAATAAATCAATTATTTCAATACATTATTAATTATCTGTTTGTATGATATTGATTGATTCAAAGGAAACAAATTTTATTCCCCTGTGATTATATAATGTTATTATGTATACACCCGGTGACTTGTTATTCTTTCCAATCATTGCCACCGTTATAATATGCAATCTAACCATTTTGAGTTATTTTAATGTACCAGTAATAAGTTTAGCAATTTTACAAACTATATACAAGTTTTTGTATGACAATTGTTATTTTTTTATGTCATTGTGTTTATTTCATAAACTATACATGGAAGTAATCCGTATATAACCCATGTGCATTTTAGGCCTGTTAATGTTTTATAGATCTCTATACATGGCGACACAAACATTATACAACTGATCTATTATATATCTTATTTGTACAAGGTGATAATACACACGATACTGTAATCCCATATACATGACATATTGTCTCCACCTTTGAAAATATAAAATATTAACTTTATTTATTTTGCAACAATTATGAAACAAATTTTCACAACTTATATTATTCACTCTATTTGGCCCGGATGTAAGTGCGTGTGGGGTCTTAATGTGGGCAGAAACCGGAGTACCCGGAGAAAACCCACATGGTCGGGTAGGTGACCCCATTCCTTTTCACGTGTGATTGGGGAATCGAACCCCGGCCGCCTTGGTGAAAGGCAAGTGCGCTATCCACTGCACCACCCAACCACCCTTTATATTGTCAACATCCAGATATGATTTCAAATTATCACTTTTATATATGTACTATTATTCATATATCTAAAGAAAGGCAAAATCTATATTCAAATATAAATAATGGCTGATCAGATATGTATTTCAATTTTATTTTTTGTAACCATATATTAAACCACTTTTCACACAATAACTTAAAGTTACAATTGTGACAATTACGTCGGTGTTTTTGTCTTTGTCCAGACAGGATTCATTTATAATACAAAAATATCCAAGTTTTATGTTTTATACAAGTCGTTAGCAGTGAATGTACATATTTATACCACAGTACAAACATGTCGCCACCTAGAACTAATGCAGAGAAAAAAAATGTTCTTTGTAATTTTTCAAAGACCATGATATATGTACATGTATGTTAAGTTAGGTTTTTTCTGAGAAATATTCAACAAAGACATTAATCTGGGTATATACACGTGGTAGACGTTTGCAGACGATTTTTCCAGACTTTTTGTTGGAAAAGTAGTGTTATATTGATACGTAAGTGTTTTAGTAAAAATAAAATTTTATTGAAGGTGTGCAACTGTGTTTTAATTATTGATGGATAAGTACAGCATACCTGTCAAAATATAGCGTAATCTGTCAAAGTATAGTGTAATCTGTCAAAGTATAGTGTAATCTGTCAAAGTATAGCGTAATCTGTCAAAAGACAGTGTAATATGTCAAAGTTAGTGTAATCTGTCAAAGTATAGTGTAACCTGTCAAAGTATGGTGTAATCTGTCAAAGTATAATGTAATCTTTCAAAGTAAAGTGTAATCTGTCAAATTTCTCAAAATACAGTGTAAGCTTTGAAAGTCATACTCTTCACCCAAAGTAGACCCTCAAGGCAGTTCCAAATGTAGACATTTCTATGAAGTAAAATTTGACTTGAAATTGAATTCCAAAATATGTTTATTGCGTGTGTATACAATTCCCCTAGAGGAGGTCACTTTACTAGCCAAGTTTTACCTACAGGTATTTCATACTATATTGATGTGGATATATAGAGGCAGAAATGCCTGCATCCTCTAATATGCTATTAAATCCTATTAAATGTAACTCTGATCTGGGAGGAGGTCAATTAATACAAGTTTCAATGTACATGTACGAGTATTGCGGGCGCTGGGGGACGTCAATTTAGATAAGTTTCACTGTACATGTACAAGTATTGCGGGCGCTGGTGGATGTCAGTTTAGACAAGTTTCACTGTACATGTACAAGTATTGTGGGTGCTGGTCGATGTCAGTTTAGACAAGTTTCACTGTACATGTACAAGTATTGCAGGTGCTGGTGGATGTCAGTTAAGACAAGATTGACTGTACATGTACAAGTATTGCTGGCGCTGGTGGATGTCAGTTTAAACAAGTTTCACTGTACATGTACAAGTATTGCGGGTGCTGGTGGATGTCAGTTTAGACAAGTTTCACTGTACATGTCCAAGTATTGCGGGTGCTGGTGGATGTCAGTTAAGACAAGGTTGACTGTACATGTACAAGTATTGTGGGTGCTGGTGGATGTCAGTTTAGACAAGATTGACTGTACATGTACAAGTATTGCGGGCACTGGGGGATGTCAATTAAGACAAGTTTCACTGTACATGTACAAGTATTGCAGGCACTGGGGGACGTCAGTTTAGACAAGATTGACTGTACATGTACAAGTATTGCGGGTGCTGGTGGATGTCATTTTAGACAAGATTGACTGTACATGTACAAATATTGCGGGTGTTGGTGGATGTCAGTTTAGACAAGATTGACTGTACATGTACAAGTATTGCGGGCACTGGGGTCCGCCAATGAATAGTACACTGTAGTTCACGGTCAGTTTACACAAGTTTCTTCAGGGTTGAATTTGAATAATTAATATCATTATGTCAGAAACATTACCTTATCGAAAAATAGTCATGGTATTTACTTTAAAGTTACACAATATTGTAAAAAGGAAAACTACTTCCCCCAAAAAGACACTGATGTGAAAATAAGTGTAATGACTGACACAGTGTGAGGTTTCATTGACAAATACAGAATATAACATTGACATGGCCGGCCTTATTTATTATCTAATAAATCAGTAACAATTACAACACAAATTTACATTGAAAATAATTGCATGTAATTTGAATACAATTCACGTAAAAAATCATACAATCTGTTAACATTCTAAATAAAAAATATTGTAAAAGTATAAAGGCATTTTATATCAGAAATATTGGTTATTTCTGATCTGCCATGAGGTCAATAGTGTCTAAAAATATTGAACACTATGTACAGGCAAGTACTAGTATGACTCGAGGGGCTGTTTAACAGCATAAATTTGTACCTTAAAGCATGGGTCAAAATTGACTCAAGAGCTATTATCCTGGATTATATGTGACATCACAAGATCCCTGAACAGAGACAAAGGCATACTGATATTATCAGGATTCTGTTAACCATTCACAACTGCATTTAGGAAAACAAAAACATCTGAGCATCACTGCAAGTGTAAAAGATGTGCATTGATTAGGTTGCCTTACAAGCGTCAGTTGTAGGGAATTTCCCTTTAGCTCAGCGGTAAAGCATCGGGCTGGAGAGCCAAGGGTCACGGGTTTGAGCCCCAGCAACGGCACTATCTTAATCACTATTCCTCATCCTACTAGCAAGTATGATATGCACTCTTTTATCTGAAAGATTGTCACCAACTGATCTCAGTAACATGTCGTACAAATATGAGCTCTTACATTCATTGGAAAATGACATACAAAATCTCACAAGGCCTAGACTAGCCATGTTTTACATACAATTTAACTTTAGATGCAATTGGTTAATGCTTCGATTCAAATGTAATATAAAGACTGATCAGTTTTTATTTAAATACTAAAAAGACTCCAGACTTAAACATTACACATTTTAAGAAGAGATTTTCCCCAGCAACATAGAGAGAACCTAGAAAAGTGTTTTCCAATGTTGTGGACAAACTGACATGTTCAGAACTTGTTCATGTTTCATGAAATGCACAAGCCAACAAAGTATATGTAGATGACATTGGAACCTCTGCAATGACCTTGACATTAGGGTGACAGACTCAGCAAAGGTTCACGACATACTGTCCGATCCGGATGCATATTCAGATCTTCAAAAGTTCGTGCCTAGACAAGCATTAGACTGATTTGACCTATTACCCTTGCTGTGACCCTGACATTGGGGTAAATGTATGACAGTAGTATGTGAGGATAATCTTCACTCAGCCTCCATCAGTTGATTTATATGTACAGAATGTTTTCATTTTAATATGTAAATCACCTTCAAATTGATGAGTTAAGGGAAACAGAAATACAAACAAGAGATCCCAGAGGGATCTTGGCGCCCACCTTTGTACCATCTTCATTAGTTCTTTGTCAGTTCGATTTTTTCTCTTCTTTCCTCTAATCTGTTTGATCGAGTCATGTTTACAGTAAATGCACCTTGAGGTAACTTTTGATCTAAACTTAATACTGATGTGTATGAAAGCCAACCTTCAAAGTGAGCTTGTCATTTCACATATTTACTAGTACAGTACTTAATGTGAAAGAAATAGAATTTATGATCATTTCAAAATAAAACATGGAAAACGAGGGATCAAATGCAACCTACATATCAAATTTGAGAAAGATCCCTTAAGTTATTCCTGAGAAATAGTACTAACAAACCTTCAATGTCAAAAATCGAAGATGGCTGTCAGTAGGCAATTTTGTTTACTGATCAGTTTCAAAAGTAAACATGAATAATAAAGGATAGTGGGGAACCTGCATTGGCTTGCCCAAAAACAAATTTTGGGGCAAGTAAAGAATTTGAAGCACTGGCTCAAATGACATATTGGTGGCCCAAATAAGTTTGGCAAGAAATATTTCCACAGCATTTAACACATTGCTTCAGCACATTTAAATTACATTTAACATGACAATATTTGTTATATGTAAAACAGAATAAAACATTATATTTTTTAATTCTTCAACCCTAGTTAAAACCTGACATGATCCACTCCATTCAGGTCTTCCCAAAAAGAAATACACAAAACTCGCACCTCAAAGATGACACCCTGGCAGTATTTATATAGAAAATCTGGAAAAAAAAATCATCACATTTTCTAAATCACGGACAGTTCGATTCAAATCGAAGTAATGACAACTGCAAAATGTACTGCCCCCCAGTTAATGTGGAAGGGACTATAATTTCTTTTATTCATAATTTTTTCAACAGCCTAAACTATTTTTGTTGGGCCAGTGACTACTTCACTTTTGACAACTTTTGGTCGCCCGAGCAAGACTTTAATCCCCATTGGCAAGCGATTAGACTGTCCATTTCAGGCACTGCTGCACAACAAGGGAACAAGGGAAACCTACATATAAAATTGAAAAAGATACCTCCCGCACTTCCCGAGAAATAGCGATAATAAACTTTCACTATCAAATTCCAAGATGGCTGCCTGTCGGCCATGTTGTTTATCCAATCAGATGATGGTGGGCTAAAAACAGCTTCTTTTGGAAATGACACAATGTTGTACAATAATTTCACCTTACAAATGAATTGCATAACCAAGGTATGTCAAATTAGGAAAATATAATAATCCAGATATCTAAAAGCTGTTTGAGACATCTGGGAAAAATCATTTTGTTTTCCCTTCTTTTTTATATCATTAGAATTCAAGTTTTGCTTGAGTTGAATATTCTAAAATGGAAGCCAGTTATACTTAAACATTGTGTTTGCTAATTGATTATATAATTTTTGGAAGGAATAGACTGTTAACAAGAACCAACTGTACACTTAAGTCAAGCACACTACCTTTTCATAGCATAGATATATATACATGTATATATCTTATAAAAGTTTTATTATTATCTGTTGGTGATGTTGATGTTTTTGGAAAATTTTTAAGAATCATTAACAACCACAAAGTAATGGCATCAACAATAGCTTATCAAGATCCAGAACCAAAAGAAAAAGTATTTCAAACCTAAACTGTCTGATTTTCATTTGAAGGGGTGATATAATGTCACACTCTACTGATAACTTGGTTATCTCTGAATAGGTTTTTAGATACAAAAGTGTTAAAATTATAAAAGTGCTCTAAAGTAAGAACTTTTTCCTTTAAAAGGAAGAAGCATACTTGACAGATATATATAATGTAAACAATAACTGCTAGAGAAAGATAAAAACAGATATACTGGACCACATATTAATCATAACAAGAATCATAACAAGAATCATGACAAGAATCATAACAAGAATCATAACAAGAAAACAATTAAGGAGGTAGTACATTACAATATATATCTATGATATGATTACTAAGAGCACCTAATTACCCAACTAGAGTATCCCGAACACCCATCCTGAACACTCATCCCTCCTGAACTCCCATCCCGAACACTCATCCCAAACACTCATCCCCTGAACACCCATCTCGAACACTCATCCCGAACACTCATCCAGAACACCCATCCCCCAAACGCTCATCCCGAACACTCATCCCAAACACTCATCCCAAACACTCATCCGCCGAATACCCATCCCCCGAACACTCATCCCGAACACTCATCCCCCGAACACTCATCCTGAACACCCATCCCCCGAACACCCATCCCGAACACTCATCCCAAACACTCATCCCGACCTTCATCCTGTAGACAAAGATGGTTGACAGTACAATGTATGATGGTTCAGTAATATATGCAGCGTATTTTGTGGAATGGAATGTTGGCCATTTTGGGGTCGTCAGCGTGGTCTCGCCTGTAATCCCACAGGTAATGGTCAATGATGATTGAATTGATGTGAGCATCTTGAGTCTCAGCGTCTTCCTTCAACAACTTCTTAGCTTCTTCACAGACTAACTGTATGGACAAATACATACAGGATGTAGAATTTGTCTTAGTAATCGTTTCTACAATAAACTATAGTTATCAAACATCTATGAAATTAGTATCTCATTATAAATAATCATGTTTATTGCTATGGCTATCAACAGTTCATTGTCTCAAGATAACACGTTTTGACTGTAAATTTATACAATAATATATCCAGTAAACAATTATTTATTTATTTTTTAATAGCAATTTTACAACAAAATCTTTTAAAAACTAGATTTGATCAACAAGATAAATATTGCCTACCTCAGTGGCCCAGATACTGCAGCCCCTGATTTCCATCTCATACCGGTCGCCAGTCTTCATCATCTTGTCTGGAAATAGTTTGTATATGACAGGATGAAAACACAAAGTGGCTTGCACATTCAAATGTGTGGGTGTTGCTGCACATCCTGATGTATATAACAGTTTACACTTAATACTGGGGTACATAGCTATAACGAAATATTTCTTGTAAACAAATACCTGATATTTCGACAAAAGTTCTTCAAACTAGATACCACTACTGTGCCCTTACTAGGTAAGTTGTATAATATCGTTGTTTCTATGATGTTTCTATGGGACACAATATTAAGTATATTATCGATAGATACTTACTTGCTTTCATATAATCTGTAAGTTCCTTCGAATATTCCATAGCATCGAAATAGACCAAGGCTTGGGGGATCCTGTAACATAAAGGTAGGGACTACGATGACCTGGGTAAGAGGAAACATCTCATCAAAACTGATTTTATAATGTACAGGTGAGGGATCATGACTATTGTCTCTACATCAGAACTTACAGAGGCACAATGTAACATCATCCAATGATGAGATAATTTTAATGTACTGATTTTATTACCATTAAATGTATTGGTTCCTTTATGGTTATTACAATTATTTAATATCAATAAATAATAAATTTGCTACTATACTCATTATATAAGCATGCGTGTTTGTGGCAAGCAAGAAGTAACATTTATTCTCAAATTTTGTACTTTGTCTCTGTAAACTGTTGGTTTGTGATCTCAGGTACTTGAGATTTGTGCTCTCAGCCTCTTAAGACTGATGACCTATGGTCTCAGGCTCAATTGACTGATAACCTATGGTCTCAGACTCAATTGACTGATGACCTATGGTCTCAGGCTCAATTGACTGATGACCTATGGTCTCAGGCTCAATTGACTGATGACCTATGGTCTCGGACTCAATTGACAGATAACCTATGGTCTCAGCCTCGTTAAGACTAATGACCTATGGTCTCAGGCTCAATTGACTGATGACCTATGGTCTCAGGCTCAATTGACTGATGACCTATGGTCTCGGCTCAATTGACTAATAACCTATGGTCTCAGACTCAATTGAAAGATGACCTATGGTCTCGGGCTCAATTGACTAATGACCTATGGTCTCAGACTTAATTGACTGATGACCTATGGTCTCAGCCTCTTAAGACTAATGACCTATGGTCTCAGCCTCTTAAGACCAATGACCTATGGTCTCAGCCTCTTAAGACTAATGACCTATGGTCTCAGCCTCTTAAGACTAATGACTTATGGTCTCAGGCTCAATTGACTAATGGCCTATGGTCTCAGACTCAATTGACTGATGACCTATGGTCTAAGACTCAATTGACTAATGAGCTGTGGTCTCAGACTCAATTGACTGATGACCTATGGTATCAGGCTCAATTGACTGATGACCTATGGTCTCAGCCTCTTAAAACTAATGACCTATGGTCTCAGACTCAATTGACTGATGACCTATGGTATCAGGCTCAATTGACTGATGACCTATGGTCTCAGACTCAATTGACTAATGACCTATGGTCTCAGACTCAATTGACTGATGATCTATGGTCTCAGACTCAATTGACTGATGACCTATGGTCTCGGACTCTATTGACAGATGACCTATGGTCTTGGACTCAATTGACTGATGACTTATGGTCTTGGGCTCAATTGACGGATGACCTATGGTCTCGGACTCAATTGACGGATGACCTATGGTCTCGGGCTCAGTTCTCTTGGAAAGGTAAAGTCACATCTATCAAACAATACAACTGTACAGATAGGTACCTGTAATCTGCAAACATGGTAATGCTGTCAATGTCATGAAACTCTCCATAACTTTCCCCCTCAAAACAAGCCCAAATGTCCGCAATCAGAATCTGCACTCTCTTGTAAAATGCAACTATTAAGGAGAAAAAATAATGGCATTGAATTACTATACCCCCTTAACTGAAAAAAAAAAAAAATCTTACCCAGAAAGCTGTATACATCGGGTTTCTACATCCAATCTGTTTAACTAATAGATCTGTGTCAGGATTGAGGCTCTTTTATTATGACTCAACAAATTCAATACAAACTTCAAACTCAGATCATACCAAAATGAAACATAAATATTCTAAAATTTGAATGTTCAAAGAATTTCTATGACACAACATGGTCGTGCATAGAACTCCAAGTTGAACCAGATTTGTCAATGGTTTTCAAATGTCTCAGTTTATTTTAAAATATGCATGGTATTTCTTTCCATTCATTGAACACATACAATAATATATTGGCTTTTTCATTACTCTTGTGTAAGACACTTCACCATAATACTTTGTAGTTTAAAATAAGGTCCATTGAACCCTCAATGTTACAGTACCTGCTATAACTTTGCTGTATCTCAAATATAACTGTTATACACGTCCCTCAAAAGCCGTATTTGTCAGAAAACTTTTTTTCTATCCTATGGCAGAACATTTAAACCTGGTACATATTCTTACATGTATGTTATATTATTTTTATGTAAGTTTATTCTACAAAACCAACCCTTTTTATTGTTTCAACAACTCTGTTGTACTGAAGTTTGACTGTTTTACCCTTTCGCCCCTATGTAAATTTAGTAGACACTACCATGCATTGATATGGACAAGTCCATTATGGTTTGCAGTGGTGAAAGGGTTAATGTTATATCGATTTGGCCCTGACAACCAGTCTCACCTTGCTTGCCGTTGTACTCTGCCTCATCCCTGTAGGATGGGAAATCTGTCACCACCAGCTTCATCAAGGCCTGGGCACTCTTGTCACATTTCTCTATACAGTTTACAAAACTCCCATCATATTTCTACAATATAGAATTTATAAATGTTCACAAACTTATTTAAAGTTGATCATGTTGAGGGTGACACTATCCAGGGAACCGATGCCTTTGGAATTATCTGAACCTGTATTATACCAGGAGAAACCAAATTAATTTCACGTGATTATTCTTGTTTCATTAGCCAAGACAGCTGTATACCAGGAAATTAACGCCCTGTCAAATATTAACCCTTCAACACTAAAATCCATTTTCGCCCAAAGTTAAATTTGCCCTTCACATTTAATTACTATGTATATTGTGGTGTTTACAAAGGTTCGCTGTAATGATAAGTGCCTCATTAGAGAGGGCAGAAAAGGGGAAAATTAAACTAAAATTTCCCAGTAAACAGTATTTTTCTGAAAAAGGATTTCTGGATCAACACGGTTGAACTGTACATGTTTTTCACTGTGACAATGTATAGTGAAATTGAATGTTTTCCTTCCGCTTAAAAAAACCCAACTTAACCTTTACATGCAATTTTATTTAGACATTAAGATACCTTGAGTAAGACTTTGCCTGCTTCCTGTAGGACCTGCAGTCGATCCTCTAAGAGTGGCATATCAAAGACTGTGTCCGACTTGAATATGTTACTCAGTTCCTCCTTACTGATGCTGGCGTAGTAGCTAGGGTCGGTCAGTGGGATGCCATTCTGTTAAACAACAAATAGGCCAAATAGGCAATAGTCTCTAAATATCACCTCCTACTTCCAATACATTGAATAAAAAACTTTCTGATGTATGTTAGGGTAGAAATTATAACATCTTGATCATTAAAAATTCTGGATGAATCTTACTAAGTTACTGAGAATTTTCTTACGCTACTAGTTGATATAAACTTTTGAAACAAATTATTGCTAGAATTACACATATTTACATCCAGGACTTACTAGAGTTAACTCTACTTACATTCAGAGTGCATTATTGCTCAAGTTTAACTACTTACATCCAGAGCTTGGTTGCGAGCTGCCAACCATTACCAGTGGACACTGGATAACTTTATAGCTATTACATATGCATTTTCTTACATCTATGGCGTTGTTGAGGCTGTTATCCATGAATAGTCAACCCTGGCTAATTTCTTTAGACCAAATAAGAAAAAATCTTGTGTTTCCGCTAACTCTACCAACCCTAGATTTGTGTGCCTAACCTGAAGTTTTCATTGGCATTTAGTCATATAAGTCAGATATCCTGCTCGACATAAGCATAGTGGGGAAAAAATAAAAAATATTTTTTAAAAATCACCTACCTAGCTACCTACTCAATTTCTTCTTATTGATAACAGAAACACAAGTAATGTTTTGGCCTTAATTCAATACAGGAGTTACACATTTACTTACGTCCAGGGCACGGTTGAGAGCTGCCACCCATGACCAGTAACCAGAGTACTCAGTGTCCTTGTACGTGACCTTGAACTTAGTGTCCTCCATCGACCAGAATGAGAAATTCAAGGTGTCTGCCACAAACACCCTGTGTGACAAAATGAGCATTCTATACCAAAAGTTAATTAATCAATTGTCAGACTTCAATTAACCAGGATTTTGTAGGGATGTTATATTTGCATAGTTTGACTTGACTGAGGATCACTTCATAATTATTTTTATTCATATGACCTGCAATGCGGCATTTGATTGGCTGATTAAAATGAGCCGTGATCAATCATTTTGTAGCCACAACATACTGTCTGCAGATTTTTAAAATGCATTTGAATCCAAAATGACAATTGTTTACCATGTCAATGATCCTAAATGACCTCAACACAGAGTGAAATTAATCATAAATGATGTTACAATGTCATGAACCTGGAATTGAATGTTACTGATGTCACTTATCAATGATAGTGACCCGGATTTCTGAAATATCCACAAAAATAACCTTAACTTGGTGCTTTTTCTTTCATTAAATAGAATCAGAACAGGCTGTGTTTTGAAATTTGTGGCGGTTTAGTGCTATTATGTTTAATAGCTCCAATCTGTTAGTTAAACTTAATTTTGAGAAATATCTCAAATTAAATTTATGTTCACCTTTGAAATAAATTGATTAAAAGCTGTTTTTTCCTCACAGATCCATTGTTCCTATCAGATTTTTTGTCCTACAGTTTGCTATGTGAAATTTTTGCTACCATTGCAAACACTTACCAATCGACCTGTGCTTTAGTCATCTTCTGTGGGTTTAGTTCATGGCTACTTTTCCAGTTAGCAATAGTGTATGTCTTAGTCTTAACACACTCATACATCTGTAAAACAACACAACAGTATACTCACACACATACAGAACAACAAATAGCAATACAGTACTGCAAATGAGGAAAATTTCACGCGCAGAAATGTTTGTGATATGACCCTTTAACTGATAGCGGTAAATTTTCATGATGGCAAATCTTATAATTTCTACATTTTATATAATCTATAAATATATATTCGCATGTTGATATTTTGGAGCCAATTTATAAAACACGAAAAACACAAGCATTTCAACACGATGAAAATTTCCATTTTGACAGTGCATCTTAGTTTTTATACATACCATGTCTAGATAAAGGGTCAGAATGTCCATGTATACCGGTATATACCATGTCTAGATAGATGGTCAGAATGTCCATGTATACCGGTATATACCATGTCTAGATAAAGGGTCAGAATGTCCATGTATGACCCACATAAATAAAAGGTTGGGAGTTCAAATGACAAACTAAGGTTACTACATACATCTAGATTTCTACATTCTGTAGCCAGGTACTTCACAACATGCAAGGAAAAGAATGTGTGTTTTCCACAAAAGGTAATAAAATCCCTCTCAAATATATGTTTTAAGTTACCTTTCCACTTCTTAAAACAAATGTAAATTCCCAATTTACCAAGAGTTTTTTTTAAATATCCATAAGAACTGGATTTAAATCTCTATGAAATTTGAAAAGTTTGCTTTTCCTAATATTATTCTATCTTACCAGTTTAGCCAGTTTCTGTACTCCATGGTCATTGATTGTGACATCTTTGCTGGTCTCTGCTATCAGCCTTGAAGCATCTCTTGGCATCATAACATTCTCCATGTCTACTGAACAACGTCTTACTTATCTGTAAATACGACAGACAAAATATGTGAACAAACGAAGTCCTGCTCGATGATATATTTTGGAAAGATCGTATAAGACTTCAATATATCACGAGACCAACAATTATACAGTGAAATTTTATTTATTTTATTTACTATGGTGTCACTAACTATTCCTTCTCAAATCAATTTAGTCTTTTTTTTCAAAACAGATTTTGGAAATTTAAAAACATTGAAAAATATTCGGGGGGGGGGGGGGGGGGGGGGGGGAGGAGAGAGAGAACTTGAGCTGTCCAAGCAAATACAGACACACACTGTAAACTATTAGTCTTTGGTTCTAGTCCTTTATGACATTGAGTAATATTTCATCTAGTTGTAATAAATGTCAGCTGTTCTTAGCTGATTTAACCTTACAAAATATGTTTCAATAGATTGATTTTTATGAGACTATTATAATAGAAAATTAATTTTCAACAAGTTATGTATTTGTACAATGTATATTTTATGAGGCTATCTGAGTTTGCGATAGAAATTGAATTTCTTTTGATATCATACATAAAGTTTAAAACGTTGTGCATACCAAAATTGATTACAGTGTGCACTTTAAAAACATTGTCCCATTTTACCAGTTTTTCATTTGAAGCAAACAGCTGGTATATTCACAAGTCCATGGAGAACTCAAGTTTTGAACATGTTTGCACCATCTATCCATGCACTAAAGTATTTTTTATTAAAATATAGATAAAAAAAAAAAATGATTGAAGAGCTTACAAGTTATAATAATCAAAATAAATTGTACTGATATTCCATTGTCATACTGTTTACAGGATTTTGAAACATAATAATAAAATGTCCTACCATGATGTTTGCTGTTCTTTGAAAATATCTAAATCGTTAGAAAGTCCCACAACTTTTCTCTTGTATACTGGCCATGAAAGTAATTTTCCTGTTTTAATTTTTATATTTCCTCTATATTTCTATAAGTAGGGGGTTATAATATTTCTATATCATCTTTAAGAATGTCACAAAAATATTTTAACATAATGGATATCAGGAATGGTTGCATAGTGGTGGAGGTGTTTTGTTTAAAAGAAAAGGACATTATACTAAATTCATCCCTTTCATATGACCTCAGGTGACAAAATATTATTTTCTTTATAAGTGTACCCAGCAGAGCAAGACTTGTGGTCCTTGTGCACTGTGCAAGTCTAGTCCGAGTTTCCTCTGGCCCTGACAGCAGACTTAAAGACATTTTGACAGATAGCCCACACGTACCAGACATCTTAATCTGTCAAAATGTCTTAAGTCTGGTGTCAGGGCCAGAGGAAACTCGGGCTAAGTGTGAATCATACTTAATATCATGTGCAGCAAGTTTTATCAGGTTACCATGTATACATGAGCATGACAAATTTTATTTCTTTTTGTAAGGGGATAACCCCCTCCCCCAAAATACATTTTTCAGGGTTTTTTCGGGAGCGGGGATACACATTTTTTTATGATGGTATAGATTGAAAAACGGGACATTTATTTTCAAAAAATATGTTACAGTAACATTATAAAAAGTGACAAATAATAATTAAATAACTGTATCAAAATCATGCATTTGTAAGACCTTTAGAACTTTAAAATTGAAATATTGACTGTCTCTGACCACAGGCAGGCGTTTCTAGGATATTTGAAAGAGTTTTTGACTTTTTTTGCTAAAAAACATAAATTAATTGTGAAATGCACTTATGTAACGGTTCCTGACTTGGAGCATGTATATTTTATATTACGATATTTTTTTTGTTGTTGTTGTTTTTTTAGGGGGGGGGGGGGGCGTACGCCCATTACGCCCTCACCTGGACCCGCCCCTGACAGGGGTTCGTCACAAATGTCGGAAATACAATATGCCATACTGATATGGGTCACAGCAAACATAAGCGTATGTTTTTGTGTGTTGTGACCCATATCAGTATAGCATATGTCATTTGTAACGAACCCCTGTGCCCTGAGTGAACTACGTTCCATATCCTCTCAGTTCTCTCCTTTTTTTTCTGACCTATCACCGTCCCTGTAGCTACCTTAATCTTATAGTTTCCCTGACTACTTACTATTTCTACCTGTTTCTCTGCCGTTTACCTGTCTGCAGTTCGAGACGATACGAAGTAGGCCTATCGTACATGTGTTACACACTCACCACAGTCGCACATGTGTTCTTTACTTCCGGCGAAGTTATTCCCCAAAAAATCGCGGGAAAGTATAAACTGGATCATTTTAGGTAAACGTGCTCACAGAGACCTGAGAATTTGTTACAGCTGTATTTGAACCTAAACTAAGGTGTTTAGTCATTTCAAACGTTTAGGGGGTTCAGATCAATTTTCGGTAAAAATTGCCACCGCAATGATGATAATAAACTGTCTAAATAGCACATTCAAGAGGTTTTTTTTTATGAATATATACATTTAAGCTACTCATTGGACTTGCCCACTGACAGATTGGATAATAATACATTTTCAGTCAATTATCATCTTTTTCATCAAATAATATCCTGGAAATTAATGTAGATATGATATGGCTTAAATTTATGTACTGTTATTAAATCGACATTGAGAGTATGTAAATTGATCTTCAAGATGGAGTATAAATTTAATCAGTTCTTGATCTCAAAGTAACTTATAATAAGCTCCCTCCTGATATTGTGTCTAATATGAAAAAAACTCTCTTTTAAATCAAGCCTCTATATCCGTCAGAAGAAGAAAAATCCTCTTTCCATCTAAGCCCTCCTCGATAACAATCTTTGAAGTTGGTCAGTATTCTATAGAAGAAGAAGAAGAAGAAGAAGAAGAAGAAAATACGCATAAAATAAGTAATTCAGGCAGTGGTATTCTACAAATTCTGTCGTTTCTGATTTTTACATCAAGCCAAAGCTGTATAGTTGTAGCAAGAAGTATAGTATAATAAAAGTATTGGACATTGCCAGTATTCAACTGGCAAACTACCTCAGTTGCCAAGTCACGATGTTAAGTCATTAATTATACATAGTATTTTGGATGAGGCGCCCAACCACATGATAATTGGTACCTGCTATCTAATTCATATATTATGTTAGATTAGAGGGTTGCTATAGCTTTTGTGGTAAGGAACGTGATTTGTGGCAAGGAACGTGATTTGTGGTAAGGAACGTGATTTGTGGTAAGGGGGGGTGAATAACAGTGTTAATAAATCTATTATCCGAACTCAAAATCAATAAAATTACGGCAAATGTGATTTAGGAAAATATTACCATGGAGGCCATTAAATGATACAATGAGAATAAGACCATGTGTTCCAGGAGGATTTATAGCGTTTTCTGAAATACTAAGATCAAATCGAAATAGTGTCTCATCCCCAAAGAGGAGCCGGGGCAGTTACAACGAAACATAGCACACTAACGACGGTAATGAACAAGAAATATACCATTTACAACGAGATCATGATGACGATAATAAAACTTGCAGGTGGAAGGCTGCTTTCACCAAGGGGGCCGCGATGGCCAAGTGGTAAGCCGTCTTCTACCACTAGCCCTCCACCACTGGGTCGCGGGCTCGAGACCTACGTAGGGAAGTCACCAGGTACTGGCCGGTGGTCGGTGGGTTGTTTGTCCGGGAACTTTCCTCCACCATCAATTAAACCTGGCACGTCCTTAAATGACCATAGCTGTTAATAGGACTTACAACACACAAACCAAACCAAGTCTTCACCAACCTGCATCTCTCGAACCACTGTGTTATAAGTTTGTCCATCAGGAGTCGACATCTATCACAGAAATTGGCAAATTCGGAGCTAGCTCTGGCAGGGATGTTACTACGAAGGAAGGGAAAATTCATAATCGGAAAATCGAAATCGTCGTCTTCGGAGTTAGATGTCTCTGCTGATCATGTTGTAAGTATTTTTAGAATAAGGTACATTTTGTAGTGATTTCGTTGATTTCAATAGATCTTCGATAGACATGGTCAGAGTCACTGTTTGACTACAGAAAACATTGCTACTGATTTCAACCGTTGAAAGATATTGTTAATCAGGAACACAAATCATTCTCATGATTTTCGTCCTCAGTATATTCCACCTTGGCCGTTTTGCCAGGTTTTCCACAAAATATACTCCAAACTATTTTACAATCAGGGCGTTCATTCATTTTGGTACGCCGGGTATGGAATTGAAAAGAGTGTAAAAACTTAAATGTTCTTATAGAAAAAGAAAAAGAAAAAGGTTTTGAGGAAATGCAAAAGATTTACCAAAAGACCTTTCGAGTTATTTATAATTTACATCCCACTAATTCCAATTCTTGCGTATAGGAGTGTCACAGTACAGTAGTCCCCCGTTATACTGCCAGCTTGTGTCCCATGCCAAAGCTGGCGGTATAACGGGGTTTCAGTTGGACACATGTGCCTAAAATGTACATCTATTTGAAACAAACACTGCATATACATACACATGTATTTATTTTGAAATTATTGCAAAACACATAATAGATATCATTTGCAGATTTTAAACATTGCAAGTTAATAAAAAAAAAATGTTTACATCTGTACAATTCAACGACTTGTATCACAACGTATGGTCGTCACATGTATTGATCAGGGGCAGCTCCTAGCCGAGTGGACTGTTTTGTGGGAACCGTTTTATCTCTCATTGTATTCAAAATTAAATGCGTTCCGTTGTGTATTGATCTGTAAAATTTTACGTAGCGGTGGTAATTGAATTCTGAATTGTATATAAGTTTCGATAGTGGTTTGACGGAGCAACTAGCAGAACCACCTACGTAATGTTGATTATTCAATCCAAAAGAGACAGATACGTATCCTTGTCATCAATCCATATTTGGACATATTATCATACAGAAACGTGATGAGCTACCTAGTAAGCAATCCGCTAGGGTTTCCTTAGTTATCAAACACACCTATAATGTTGTTCATTTTGTAAGCAGGGAAAATAATTGTATTTGCAAAGATAAAATCTTTCGTCTGATTACACTAGTACTTGTGAGAGAAGAATGGCGTACAGACAGCTCTAGTCAAACAGAATGGCGTACAGACAGCTCTAGTCAAACAGAATGGCGTACAGACAGCTCTAGTCAAACACATCAAATCTTAGATGATATTCTGGATAACCAAGTCTAACTACCGGTTCCTCGGTATGATCTATGGAGAAGTCCGGATAACCTCATTACAAGATTGAATCTCCGTCTCTCATCCTGGACTTCACCACACTGCTGAATACCGCGAATGAGTAGGCGCCTCGGCGTAGTTGCATATCAATGGTTGGTACTTCTATTTAGTTCTATATATATATATACTACCCAAGTAGAAGTATATTGTAGTTGAACTGCCGATTACTCCTATTTAGTTCTATTTTACCCAAGTAGAAGTATATTGTAGTTGAACGGCCGATTACTCTAGATAGATAGTGTGCCAAAAATGAACTACACTACATCATATAGCCGTTTCGTTCTTCTAGAAGCCAAACTCATATTCAATGACAATATGTTAAGTTATGTTAACCAGATTGCATTGGCTACAGTACCAGAACTGTTGAAATTATGAAACCTCGAATATTTTATGGCAATTTTTCGTGAACGAAATTTTACGTACACAATCATTTACTTACTATGAATCATAACGCACCCTTTTTTTGTTTGTAGTTAATGTACCAATAGAGAATCTCGCCCAGTCATCTGGTGATTCGTATAGCGTGCAACGGAACATAGGCAAGGTATCTTCGGGTTTTTTGGTGTTTTTTTTTACTGGCTACATAAACCAGTATTATATCACTGATATTTAAAAATATGTATATACGTTTGTGAACTTGTATGAACGTCACGATTGTTGTCATTTTGTAAATAATGTATGATTCATTTATTATCATTGTTCACTGTATGTATTCACTATTTATTATCATTGTTCAATGTATGTATTCATTATGTATTATCATGCTCTTCAATTTGGAGAAAATAAAGATGATATAGTAATATTCGTATTCATCACTAATATTAAGTTCTCAGGTCGGACGCACGAATTATATCAAAATTGGAGAGGGAGATGGCCAACTATGCTCTTGTGCAATTTGCACCAACACATCCTGATATTCACCTCAGGAATTGATCTTTTGTGATATTATTTCTACTTTATATGTGATATGCTATGTAATGTGTAAATTTGTGTCTCTCTTCCAATTTAGTATTCTGTGATATTTTCTTGTTAAATTACTTAATATGTGTATACCTATGTTTGTCGCAAGAATAGCACTACAGTGCTAATGTTATTTTGTTTGTTATATGCAACGGTAAATAAAATTTCTTGAATCTTGAAAAGAAAAAAAAATTCTCGAATTTTCAACTCAATTTGTTTCCTGCCCAAATTACACATGTGCACAAATTAAATGAGTTTTAATACTATTTTTCAAAAGTGGCATTATCACCATTTCTGTTCTGCTTGATGAATAATTCATCAGTTTGATGCTGTTGTAAGAGATAATTGTTTAGGAATAATGGTTTGGTTTGGTTTATTATTGTTTACCGTCCTATCAACAGCTATGGTCATTTAAGGACGGCCTCCCCCTGTGCAAGATGCATGCTTGTGTATGCATGTTTTGGGAGTCTGCGATAGATATGTTCGTGTTTGTCTCCCCGTGACAGCGCGGAACTGATGCCGACTTTAGAGTGTTACCTCACTGAAACATACTGCCGAAGATACCCAGCAGGACACCCCACCCGGGTCACATTATACTGACAACGGGCGAACCAGTCGTCCCACTCCTAAATTGCCGAGCATTAAGCAGGAGTAGAAACTACCATTTTTACAGACTCTGGTATGTCTCGGCCAGGGGACAGAACCCCAAGCCTTCCTCACAGGGGCGAACGCTCAACTAAAGGCCAAAAGGGAGACATTGTCAAGGGAGACATTAAGAAGAAAGTTGTTTAGAAAGAAGAGAAAAGATAAGATCCAAAATTTAGTCCCCTCTCATGGAAAGGGGGCAGCACTTATTAAGTATTATATAGATGTAATTGAATGGTTTTCCATTGAATTTCAATGAAGAGCAGCAATAAAACATTGATAAACCAACATAGAAATCAGGGAAGTAATTCTAACATCCAACGCTCATCGGTGGTGGTCAGTCAATGTCATTGTTGAGGTTCTCCAAGGTAGATGCCAGCTTAGTAAACTACACTCAAGTAAGTGATGAAGCGTCAACACCAGATATTCTGTACATAATGTCTTTAATGATTCATGTGTTTCTGATGACTACAAAAACCATCATTTGGACAATTTTACAGTATCGTTTTCATGACTGAGATACAAAATATAGTTCATAATAATTAAGTCACATATTCCGTATACATCAGACTGTATATGTGGAAATTCTCGTGTGTGGAAATGAAAAATATATATATAAAAGTGTGAATATCCACATCGCGGTAATTTCCACTTGTACAGCAGTATTGATGAGTTATCATGAAATAGTGTCGGTTATAAATTTTAAACTTACCTCTTCCACCAATCCATTGAAATATGACATGTCAACGGTTCAACCGTTAATATATATTAGTATAACTGAACAACAAACAACTCCATTACATTGTATCTGGCTTACAACAATATCTAACCAAAACTTGCCACTAAGTATTCTAAAATTCTCATATTTTTAAACAAAACGACCTCTGAGGTAAATTTGTCTGCGAGACACTGCTTATGTTAATTAAGTCCAGTTCTCGTTCTATTTTCTTTTTAAATTTCTTTTCTATTATTTAAATGGATATCCTCAAGTTCAATATAATCTGTTTATAATGTTGTCAGCGGCCAGTTCACATCTTATCACAGGGAAGGAGTTCAGCATCCATTTGTTTACTATGACTGCATTTGGATCAAGTTGATCATTGCTTCCACCGCCCGCTCTATTCCAAACTCTTCAACCAAAAGTTCAAAATTTTCAGGGGCATTTTCCAGAGCTTTTGCCTTGTCTAAATCCAGTACTACAAAATGATACCAAATGCATGCATTAACTTTTAATATTAGAAACAAAATGGTCTACTACATATTTTATCTCTTTTTTATATATATATTTTTAGTGATGTAAACAGAATTAATTAGCATGTGAATTCAAAGTAAATGCACTGTATTATATAGAATTCCTATAGCAAGCACTGCAACATAGTAAAATTGTGTTAGAAAAAACAATTTGCAGTTTTGTCAATTTCAAGTTCAACAAGATTGAAAAAGTAGACCACATTTAACAGAAAATCAGGAATACACTGGTGACAACATTACACATGATTACATCATGTTTAACGATTATACGCAGTGATACATTTGTTTTTATGTTCCCCAGTACCCATAAAAATGGGAAGAGGACTGATAAAACAGACCACATGTCTGTGACAGACAGCAACTCAATTACCTTGAATCTGGTTACAACAATATCTAATCAAAAACTTGCCACTTTTAAAGTATTTTAACATTTTCATATTTTCAATGAAACGACCTCTTGGGTAAAAATGTCTTAGAGACACACTTAATGATACACTAAAACTTTCATCTTTTACTTAATTTGGATGAAACTTTATAAGGTTGTTGGAGTTTTCAGAGTTAAAGATGTGAAATTTCTTCAAAATGCAAACTGAAGTAAAATTATCTCAGAATTGAATAATAATTTCCCATCAATGAATACCTGGGAATAATTGAATATAATTGTAAAAATATGGATGTCAGTACAAAAAACAACTAAAAATCCACTAAAATTACTGCTGCTATTTATTGAACAGTGTACTATGTTATAACTGTCAATGTGCCTAGCCCAATGTCATAAGCTAACTCACATTGCTTGGTTCCTTGATCAGTGTTCTATGTTATAACTGTCAATGTGCCTATCCCAATGTCATGTCATAAGCTAACTCACATTGCTTGGTTCCTTGATCAGTGTTCTATGTTATAACTGTCAATGTGCCTATCCCAATGTCATGTCATAAGCTAACTCACATTGCTTGGTTCCCTGAACAGTGGACTATGCTGTTACTGTCAATGTGCCTAGCCCAATGTCATAACCTAACTCACATTGCTTGGTTCCCTGAACAGTGGACTATGTTGTAACTGTCAATGTGCCTATCCCAATGTCATAGGCTAACTCACATTGCTTGGTTCCCTGAACAGTGGACTATGTTGTAACTGTCAATGTGCCTATCCCAATGTCATAGGCTAACTCACATTGCTTGGTTCCCTGAACAGAGTACTATGCTATAACTGTCAATGTGCCTATCCCAATGTCATGTCATAAGCTAACTCACATTGCTTGGTTCCCTGAACAGAGTACTATGCTATAACTGTCAATGTGCCTATCCCAATGTCATAAGCCAACTCATATTGCTTGGTTCCCTGAACAGTGTACTATGCTATAACTGTCAATGTGCCTAGCCCAATGTCATAAGCTAACTCACATTGCTTGGTTCCCTGAACAGTGTACTTTGCTATAACTGTCAATGCGCCTATCCCAAAGTCATAAGCTAACTCACATTGCTTGGTTCCCTGAACAGTGTACTATGTTGTTACTGTCAATGTGCCTATCCCAATGTCATAAGCTTACTCACATTGCTTGGTTCCCTGAACAGTGTACTATGCTATAACTGTCAATGTGCCTATCCAAATGTCATGAGCTAACTCACATTGCTTGGTTCCCTGAACGGTGTACTATGTTGTAACTGTCAATGTGCCTATCCCAATGTCATAAGCTAACTCACATTGCTTGGTTCCCTGAACGGTGTACTATGTTGTAACTGTCAATGTGCCTATCCCAAAGTCATAAGCTAACTCACATTGCTTGGTTCCTTGATCAGTGTTCTATGTTATAACTGTCAATGTGCCTATCCCAATGTCATAAGCTAACTCACATTGCTTGGTTCCCTGAACAGTGTACTATGTTGTTACTGTCAATGTGCCTAGCCCAATGTCATAAGCTTACTCACATTGCTTGGTTCCCTGAACAGTGTTCTATGTTGTAACTGTCAATGTGCCTTTCCCAATGTCATAAGCTAACTTACATTGCTTGGTTCCCTGAACAGTCATCAGTTTTACAGTAGCACACATTAGCTATAGTTCGTTTAGTGAATTGTCTTGGAACCAGTCGAAATTGATTAATATGCATTTATATAGGGAGTCAGGGAACAATGTACTATGTTGTAACTGTCAATGTGCCTATCCCAACGTCATAAGCTAACTCACATTGCTTGTTTCCCTGAACAGTGTACTATGTTATAACTGTCAATGTGTCTATCCCAATGTCATAAGCTACCTCACATTGCTTGGTTCCCTGAACATTGTTCTATGTTGTAACTGTCAATGTGCCTATCCCAATGTCATAAGCTAACTCACATTGCTTGGTTCCCTGAACAGTCAACAGTTTTACAGTAGCACACATTAGCTATAGTTCGTTTAGTGAATTGTCTTGGAAACAGTCGAAATTGATTAATATGCATTTATATAGGGAGTCAGGTAACAATGTACTATGTTGTAACTGTCAATGTGCCTATCCCAATGTCATAAGCTAACCCACATTGCTTGGTTCCCTACACAGTGTACTATGGTGTAACTGTCAATGTGCCTATCCCAATGTCATAAGCTAACTCACACTGCTTGGTTCCCTGAACAGTGTACTATGAAATAACTGTCAATGTGTCTATCCCAATGTCATAAGCTAACTCACAGTGCTTGTTTCCCTGAACAGTGTACTATGTTATAACTGGCAATGTGCCTATCCCAATGTCATAAGCTAACCCACATTGCTTGGTTCCCTACACAGTGTACTATGGTGTAACTGTCAATGTGCCTATCCCAATGTCATAAGCTAACTCACATTGCTTGGTTCCATGAACAGTGTACTATGTTAGAGCTGTCAATGTGCCTATCCCAATGTCATAAGCTAACTCACATTGCTGGGTTCCATGAACAGGGTACTATGGTAGAGCTGTCAATGTGCCTATCCCAATGACATAAGCTAACTCACATTGCTTGGTTCGCTGCACAGTGTACTATGGTGTAACTGTCAATGTGCCTATCCCAATGGCATAAGCTAACTCACACTGCTTGGTGCCCTGAACAGTGGACTATGTTATAACTGTCAATGTGCCTATCCCATTGTCATAAGCTATCTCACATTGCTTGGTTCCCTACACAGTGTACTATGTTGTAACTGTCAATGTGCCTATCCCAATGTCATAAGCTATCTCACATTGCTCGGTTCCCTACACAGTGTACTATGGTGTAACTGTCAATGTGCCTATCCCAATGTCATAAGCTAACTCACATTGCTTGGTTCCCTGAACAGTGTTCTATGTTGTAACTGTCAATGTGCCTATCCCAATGTCATAAGCTAACTCACATTGCTTGGTTCCCTGAACAGTGTACTATGTTGTTACTGTCAATGTGCCTATCCATATGCCATAAGCTAACTCACACTGCTTGGTTCCCTCCACGCCTAGTCGGATCCTCGGAGTCACCCTGTCAAGGGACTGTGTACAGAACTCCCAGCTGATCATCAGGACAGGTCTGTCAAATATAGAGATGTATCAAACAGTTTCTTAATCTTTTCCTCACAGCAGCAATTAACTGGGCTGAGCTTCATATTCTATTAAGTGTTGGTGCATCATTGAAATATATAATCAGTCCAGCCTAACTGCAGCTTCGAACAAAGGAGCTGTCAGTTCTTGCATAGAAAAAACACTTCTGTTTAAGGTGAGTGAAATTGAGCATTCTCAACCAATATGTGATGTGAACAAGTATGTCTTTGAGTGATCTCCAATGTCACGATGTGGACAAGTATGTCTTCGAGTGATCTCCAATGTCACGATGTGAACAAATATGTCTTTGAGTGATCTCCAATGTCACGATGTGAACAAGTATGTCTTTGAGTGATCTCCAATGTCACAATGTGGACAAGTATGTCTTTGAGTGATCTCCAATGTCACGATGTGAATTAGTATGTCTTTGAGTGATCTCCAATGTCACGATGTGAACAAGTATGTCTTTGAGTGATCTCCAATGTCACAATGTGAATTAGTATGTCTTTGAGTGATCTCCAATGTCACAATGTGAACAAGTATGTCTTTGAGTGATCTCCAATGTCACGATGTGAATAAGTATGTCTTTGAGTGATCTCCAATGTCACGATGTGAACAAGTATGTCTTTGAGTGATCTCCAATGTCACGATGTGAACAAGTATGTCTTTGAGTGATCTCCAATGTCACGATGTGAACAAGTATGTCTTTGAGTGATCTCCAATGTCACGATGTGAACAAGTATGTCTTTGAGTGATCTCCAATGTCACGATGTGAACAAGTATGTCTTTGAGTGATCTCCAATGTCACGATGTGAACAAGTATGTCTTTGAGTGATCTCCAATGTCACGATGTGAACAAGTATGTCTTTGAGTGATCTCCAATGTCACGATGTGAACAAGTATGTCTTTGAGTGATCTCCAATGTCACGATGTGAACAAGTATGTCTTTGAGTGATCTCCAATGTCACGATGTGAACAAGTATGTCTTTGAGTGATCTCCAATGTCACGATGTGAACAAGTATGTCTTTGAGTGATCTCCAATGTCACGATGTGAACAAGTATGTCTTTGAGTGATCTCCAATGTCACGATGTGAACAAGTATGTCTTTGAGTGATCTCCAATGTCACGATGTGAACAAGTATGTCTTTGAGTGATCTCCAATGTCACGATGTGAACAAGTATGTCTTTGAGTGATCTCCAATGTCACGATGTGAACAAGTATGTCTTTGAGTGATCTCCAATGTCACGATGTGAACAAGTATGTCTTTGAGTGATCTCCAATGTCACGATGTGAACAAGTATGTCTTTGAGTGATCTCCAATGTCACGATGTGAACAAGTATGTCTTTGAGTGATCTCCAATGTCACGATGTGAACAAGTATGTCTTTGAGTGATCTCCAATGTCACGATGTGAACAAGTATGTCTTTGAGTGATCTCCAATGTCACAATGTGAACAAGTATGTCTTTGAGTGATCTGCAATGTCACGATGTGAACAAGTATGTCGTTGCATGCTATCTGTTCAATACATGTTATTTCTTTAAAGCCTACTTTTTTTTCATTGGAACAAGCAATTATCCAGATAATGAATTATCCAGCTGTCATCATCAAACAGGATGTCAGAATAATACATACCCATGTTTAAAATTAGGATGTGAGATCACAAGGATGCGATTTGTCTCCATTGTATATATTGTCACGAAATCAGGATACTTTTCAGCAAAATGATTCAGTATTTTCTGTCTGTGAGATTCCCATTTTGAGTATGGCATAATCAACCGAAAAAATCCTCCAATGGTCTGTTCATTTACAATCCTGGCAGAAAAGGAAGTAATAATTAAACATTGTAATTGAACAGTTTGTTACAAAGTAATGAAACAGAACAGCTAACAAAATTTACAGAAAATAAATCATCCTGTAATGTAATAAAATGGTAACTTATGTGTAACAGAAGAGCAAGTTACAAAATAATGTAGTAATTCTGCATAAAGTAATATAATAAATTAGTTATCCAACTTAAACTTAGAGACAGCAGTCAATGCAATATTTCATTGAAACATTGATAAACAACTTCAAAATAATCGAAAAGTATATTATTAGCTCACCTGGCACGAAGTGCCAAGTGAGCTTATGCTGTGGTGTGGCGTCCGTCGTCCGTCCGTCGTCCGTCCGTCCGTCGTCCGTCCGTCCGTCGTCCGTCCGTCCGTCGTCCGTCCGTCGTCGTTCCGTCGTCCGTCTGGCGTCTGGCGTCAATATTTTACTTTAAACGACTTCTTCTAAATAACCGAAAGGCCTAGGGTGATGATATTTGGCCAGAAGCAAACTGGGATGAAGAGCTACCAAGTTTGTTCAAATAACTGACCTTCATCTATTTTCAAGGTCACAGGGGTCAAATATGTTAAAAACTTTAAACAACTTCTTCTCAATAACCAAACTGCCAAGGGAAATGAAATTTGGTCAGTAGCATGCTAGGGTGAAGGGCTACCAAGTTTGTTCAAATGAATGACGTTCAATTATATTCAAGGTCACAGGGGTCAATTGTCTTAAAAAACCTTTAAGTAACTTCTTCTGAATAACTAAAATGCCCAGGGTGATGGTATTTGGCCAGTAGCTAGCTGAGATGAAGGGCTACAAAGTTTGTCCAAATGAATGACCTTAACCCATATTCAAGGTCACAGTGGTCAAATATGTTAAAAACTTTAAACAACTTCTTCTCAATAACCAAAATGCACAGGGTGATGATATTGGGCCAGTAGCATGCTAAGATGAAGGGCTACAAAGTTTGTTCAAATGAATGACCTTCTCCCATATTCAAGGTCACAGGGGTCAAATATGTTAAAAACTTTAAACAACTTCTTCTGAATAACCAAAATGCCCTGGGTGATGATATTTAGTCAGTAGCATACTAGGATCAAGGGCTACCAAGTTTGTTTAAATGTATGACCTTGAATCATATTCAAGGTCACAAGGAGCAAATATGTTTAAAATATTTCAACAACTTGTTCTGAATAACCAAAAGGCTCAGGATGTTGATATTTAGTTAGTAGCATATGCTGGGATCAAGGACTACTATGTTTGTTAAAGTGAATGACTTTGACTTATATTCAAGGTCACAGGGGTCAAATTTGTTTAAAATCTTTAAACAACCTCTTATGAATAACCATGGGTCCCAGGATGTTTATACTTTGCAAGTTGCATCCTGAGATGAAAGCCTATACAATGTGTTCAACATAATGACTTTGTTCGACTTTCAATCACAGGGGTGAAATGTTTAAAAAAAATTAACAGGGTCTTTTGAACGAATTTTAATCATAAATACTGATATTTTGCCTGTAGCTTTATTTTAGATCACTTTTAAGGTTACAAGTGTGAGTTTTATACCAGGTGAGCGATACAGGCCCATTGGGCCTCTTGTTACAACTATTAAAATGTAAAACTGGAACTGTCACCACACCTCCCCCCCCTCCATAGGAAGTTCTTTACAGAACATTTTTAAACAAACGGGCATAGCTCCATAAATAGGGAGGTAATTACTCCGACTAATGAACTGTTTTTATATCATTTCAATGAAAAGAATTATATATACTAAGTATCTGACATTCAAATCTGTGCAGTACTTTGTGAGGAGTGTAAACAAGAGGCCCAGAGGGCCTGTATCACTCACCTGTTTCTTTTGTTACATGCAACTGACATATAGGTAACATAAGACCAAATTTGGTAACTAGAACACAAGACATCTTAACATCTCTTAAACGGTTCTGAAGATATTGTTGTTTGAAACTTGAAATTTTAATTTCAACGCTTTTAACACATATTGACCTTTGACTCCCGACTTTCACTTAAAGTTGACCTTTGACCTCATGACTGTAATAAAGAAAACAATTCACACAGCTGGTCTACATAACATACCGTAGTATCATGACTCTAGTCCAAATGGTTCTTAGGATATTTTTGTTTGAAGTTTTTAACATATTTGACCCCAGTGACCTTGAAAGTAGGTCAAGATCGTTTTAATGAGGAAAGTTTATAGCACTCCATCCCAGGTACCTACTGCCCAAATATCATGACCCTGGGCCTAATGGAACTGGAGAAGAAGATTGTTAAAGCCTTTGACCCATGTTGACATTTGACCCCCGACTAGCATTTAAAGTCAACCTTTGACCTCATTACTGTAATAGAGAAAAATATTCGCACTGCTGGTCTACATAACATACCCAAGTTTCATGACTCTAGTTCAAATGGTTCTTAGGATATTGTTGTTTGAAATTTTTAACATATTTGACCGCTGTGACCTTGAAAGTAGGTCTAGGTCTTTTTAATGAGGAAACTTTATAGCACTTCATCCCAGGTACCTACTGGCCAAATATCATGACCCTAGGTCCTACAGTTCTTCAGAAGAAGTCGTTCAAAAGAAAAAGTTGACGGCCGGACGCCGGATGCCGCAGTACGGCATAAGCTCACATGGCCCTACCGGCCAGGTGCGCTAACAAAATGTTTAACCCTTTCACCCCTATGTAACTTGAGTGAACTCTACCATGCATTAATGTGGAAGAGTCCATTACGGTCTACAGTGGTGAAAGGGTGCAAAACACCATAATAAGTGGAGGTAACACTATAATTTACATACAATATCGACATCCCCTGGATATAAGGGTTGTGTCTAACATGGGTCATTCAAACTGGAGAATTAAACAATGTTCTAATCTAAGAATGTATAGTGAATATGTAACATAAGGAATCATTTTTAATGTAATACAAGCCAATAGAGTACACTGTACTACCAACCTTTCTAGTGGCTTCTCCAGCTCAAAACAAACATCTTGCGGTACATTTGCAACAAATTCTTTTATTTCAAGTTCTGATCGTTCATCTTCCTGAAAAGAAAAATACACAAAAAGGTTATACAAAAAAAGTCATTTATTTTCAGCTTATTCAGGTTTTAAAGCTGACAGTGTAAACCAAGAACTACAGAGGTACAATACAAATTATCTCATCGTCTAGTGTCAAGGCATCCCCTTACAAACATGGCAGCACATTGTCAGACATTTGCTAAGCCCCTTTCGCGCATCCGGTTCAACCTGTTAGTGTGTTTTCAAACAAAACTTTTTCGGTTATAAAATATAAATCACCTGCAGACCTGCAAATGTCTGCAAAATCACATGGGGGAGAAGTTTACAGAGAGTGTTAGAGTTGAGAGTTGGAAGTTGAGGTTTGGGAATGCGAGCCTCTGGAGGGAAAGGCAAGGGAAGGCCTCAGCCAGACGGGTCAGGTATGGCCCGGGTAGACTAGAGAATTGAGTGTGATTTAAATTATGTGTTTGATGTTTTAACTCTATGTAATGTGTGACTGTAGAATCGCTGTCGTGTTCCAAACTAGGTGAAGAAGGACATTGACATGAATTGAAGAGAGATCTTGCAGTGAGGGCCTACTACAGGATAGGGGAGGCGTATGGTCCCTGACTGTCGCGGCCACAATGTGAAACAATTAGTCCACAATGGATTTTTTCAGCGTGTTGTGTTACACTTCACATCTGGCAGTTATACAATCTTTCAGTGGAAGTGGGCTGTATGAGGTAAATACACTGTGGAGACGTTATATAAAATCAGGAATTACTGATAGAAAGTAAAATATTACAGTTTAACTCATTCTTACCATCACTATTTCCTCTGTATCGAATTCCAGTCCAAACTCAAGTCCGTTACATTCTCCCTTAATGTCAAAATGTTTTTGAGTGAACCTTTCTTCTGAAATGTTAATTATAAAGGTTAACATTTGTTATGACATTTTTGATGAAACCAAAAATGCATCTATCAATTCAAATTAATCTAAGGACAAATGTCACCTTATCAGAATGTACTCATGATCAAAAGATCCTATTAACGTCGGGCTGAAATTGACAAGGAATCAGTAAAAATCTTACCTGTTTTTAGAGTCTCTTCTTGAAAATCCATAAAACAAACACCAGTTATCTTCTGCATTTTTAATATCTGAAACAAAGATGTGTTACATTCATTTTTTTCTTTAATTCTTGTTGAATTGACATCCTTTTTTAAATTAATCTAAATTTATATATAACCTACTTTGTATGAAAGTTTTCAGTTAACCGACAGAAACAACGGAAGTCCCTATCTAGATTTAATGTTACAGTTAACTTTTTGTCTAACTGAATGTCAATAAATTCTTTGACCATCAAAGCCAGTATAATGTTATTATTGCCCCATTCACAAACTTAAAGCTTTTTTACTATGAATATCATACCATATCCTCCAGATTGTTGATGTTTTTGTTGATTTCTTCAGTCGATGATGGCTCATCTTTATCACTGTCCTCTCTAATAGCAAATTAAAAATGTGTCAAAATCAAAATTATCGTTTTTGCCTCATCTTGACTAGCATAAAGTATAGATCTATAAGGTAATGCTATAACATTAAGTAAAGTGTACACTTTAGGCATGAAATGTAGACTGTTTCAAGTGAAGTGTGTGCTGGAGCTCGAGGCTGGGTATGTTGGTGTATTTGTTTCCTTGTGATAGCGTGGACCTGATGCTGACATTAGAGTGCTATCTCACTGAAATTCTATGCCGAAGGCACCCAGCAGTATTCCACCTGATCACATTATACTGACAGTAGATAAGGTATCATACAGGACCAAGATAGGTGTTTTATTCATAAACTTCTTACAAATTTTATTCATAAGCAACTTCTTATAAATTGGTGACCATTCGAACTGGGAAAATATCATCAGATGAAATTAAGAAAAAACAGCTTAGATTCTCCATGGGAAGGACATTTAACTGGCTCTAAATATACAAAAAAAAAAACTCATCTTACAGACATGGTTGATTCGTAAATCATACTGAGTTTGTTTGGATATAATAGCTGAAAATGTTCGTAATTGTTATCTTACAACTACATACCTTAGCCAATGCTTCACTCGTTTTAAATGAGACTTTTTCCCTGTTACATTTTCAGACAGTTTAGCAACATCAATCTCCAATTGATTTAGTTCCTCAGCCAACTTCAGAGGAATACCCATCTTCTTTGATATGGAGCTGGAAAGGGCCTTCATTGAAGTTTCTAGTCCATGATCCACTTCGTTGCCAGAAAATCTGAAATATATAATCATTTTCTTGTAAATTTAAACATGTTGATATCTAGCAGTTATGAAAACAAATTCATAGTTTTAAGTACTTATACAATCTATAAAACAAGTTCTATATAAAATATACTAGGGTAAGATATTTCATGCAGGTGTAAGACCTTGTTATAAAGTGAGATTCAAGTTAACAGATAGTAAAAGTTACCATATGCCACGATCTGACGGAAAAGTTGCGGTTAAAATTGAAGTCATCAAATGACATGAAATATTGTAAGTACATGTATATATATTGGTATGAAAAGATTTAAAATTGAAGCATGCAAAGCATTTTCCCGACTGCAGTTTAATCTTACCAGGTGCAGCGTTGAAGCCATGTTTACATTAGTATCATGTGAATTAACCAGAGCAGAGACCAACGAATGGCAACTATGTGTTCAACTGGGTCATAGGTGATGTTTACACATGCAATAAACGTTGCAGGCTTCCATCTTAAGGATGTACTCTTCTGAGGTTTCAATCACGTTCAAGTCTCGTTTTGATCTGGTGTAATGGGTTTTTGTAATATTTAACAACTTATGATCAAGTTTATTAGCAATTACGCGTCCGAAAAATATGTCAAAATACTAGATGCCTGTTGTTTGTAGAACTTTTTTTACAAGAATTTTAAAAAATTACCAATTTGGCGGCCATTTTGAAAATGTGTATTAATGTGTATTTCTTGTGCTTCAAAAAAGGCCAAAATTTCACCTTTTTTTGCACTAGATTGATCACTTAAATTGTCATTGTGTCGCCATTTTTAATTGTAGCAGGTTCATTTTTGCTGTACAACTTTATAATGTTCAATATGATAAAAATAATATGCAACAATCTGGAAA